TCTCCTCTTTTCTCACTGGAACTGTGGGGAAGTCCCTGAGGGACAACAGTAGTCTGGTTTTGTGACACAGAATTGTTTTATGAGTACTTTGAGTTGGCACTTGAACATAAGAGTTAAAACACTGCAGCACAGTATGTTGCTTATGCTTTTTTTTTACTTAGAAATTAAGCAAAGCAAAGTTTTTCAGCCCTAGTCACAAAGAAGCAATGTGAATTCCACATAAAGTGTAGTCCAACAAAAGCATTATAAAATGTTATTATTCTCAAAACAAATGTGAGAGCAAGCGAATGTGGGTGGCTTGGTGGGGCTGAGAGTCATGAGCACTTTCGGAAAAACAACTGCAAGTGCATTTCTAACAGATGATGGGTCAGTCTGCAACGTTTCAAGCACAGAAGAGTGCATTCTTTTCTGCAGGGGCACTCACACTTGAGAAACCTAGTACTTAGTCAAACAGCCTGTTCTTCAAGAGGAGAGTAAATGACCCCTCCAGATCTATTTTTTACGGTGACAAGAAAACTGCTGGCTTTGCCTTTCCTCGTAACCAAATCATTAAACTAAGTATGGATGGCTCAAGAGGGGAAAAATGGAATGATATTGGCATAAAGGACTACTAAGCATCTCAATTTTTTAAAAGCAGCACCATGTCATGCCAAAGGAAGTTAATCCTCACAACTACTACAATCTAACATAATGAGGACTCATGTTTGCTCTGGCTAATAAGCAGGACTAGTGAGCACAGCTGATTTACACTACCATTTACCAACTAAAAGCAATGTGTTTACTAAAACAGTCTAAAAAATTTGTCTACATTTAACCAAAGAAAGTGTTATATTCTAAATGAACTCCTTAGTCATCTAATTTTATAAAATATGAAGCTGGAGGAGATCCTGGAAAATCCATCTTAATAGCCTCATCTTACACATGGGAAAAACAAAGATCAGTAGGGTTAAATGATTTGACCAAAGTACAGATAATTAATGGCAGGACAAAGGTCAACTCCAATGTGAAAAAGTAACCCTTGAAGAATCCCGTGTGGTTAATTTTCTGCACTACTAAATGAAATGACACGATACATAAGTTTGATTTGTGGGTAAGACTACTGTTCTGAAGCAACTGAGCCCTTTCAATGTTTTCAAATTGTCATCTTTTCCATCATCACTGTTTAACTGCAAAGCTGTCTACTCTTGTTGATTGAGGAAAGCTGTCTCTTCTCTGTATTCCAGCAGAACTGAAGCTCTGTACATGAATGAAAGCCACTTACCTGGCCACAGGTTTCTGCTTGCTGGCCAGATATGTCCCCAGAGGTCTGTCAACTCCTTATGTCAAAGCACAGTTTGATCCCTGACTACACAGACAATGGCAAGAAAATGTGTTCAAAGATGGCAAACTGCTGTCTGGATTTTGAGAAACAATACATGACCCAACTTGGATGTGTTATATCCTACCTGATTCTACCCCTTTCTGTAAAATCTAATAGAACGATTGAGTTGAATTCTTATTTTCATGACCAAGAGAGGAATTTTTCCATATCAGTTAAGAGAGAGTGATAACTTAGACACCAGGGCTGGTGCTTAAGTCCCTAGAGTCCTGTGCACACAGATTTTGCCTTCTCGGGAATGCTTGCTACAGACCAAACCAAGGAACAGGGCTGTAGTTTAACTTCCCCATAGTCTTACAAACAGGGCTGGACTTTAACTTCCCAATAGTCTTACCTAGGCAATTTTAAAAGGCAGACCTGATTCTCCTTAAGACCCTGGGCCATCATGGTAAATATTCATTCACATTCAAGCTGGAACCTAACTTCTTCTCTTGGACTGAAAACGTCAAGTTCGATTAGAAGATACTGTCATTGGCCTTGATTCCTTTAAAAGGCTCATAAACATTAACCAGGGAGCTCTTAAGCATAAGAAACTTCTTTGCTTTTTAACCAGATAACTCATTCCCCTGTACCTGATCACTTGTCATTCATGGTGTACTTTCCTTCTGGCTTTTCAGCAACTGATTATAATGAGTTTTGGTGAATTGTTGAAAGGTTTGTTATATGTTTCTGTCGTTGTTTGGTTTTTTTTTTCCTCCAGAGCATTGATATTTTCAAAATAATTTGGCTTGAGATAGAAAGGTTAGATCCTTGCAGGAGAGTTTAATAATATATTAATGAATGTGTACATTAAAATCAAGGTGTTAAGCCAAAACTTTACAAGAAAATCCACAATAAACATGTACCAATTATTTCAACTGTGTTTACTGGGGAAAGTACTGGCTAAGGTAATAGACTCACTATTTCTGAATGAGCTAAACTGGGCTGCAACAATCTATGTATGTTCCCTTTTCATTTGATTTCCTTCTCTACTCTCACGTAGAAATATGAAGAAGAAGTCATGTTTCTTTTGGTTCTATGTTTTAGACCTTTGGGTACTATGTTTTATCTTACATGGAAGCTGAAAGTATCTATAAAAGCATTACATTTGTGCAGCTAATGATCATTTCCAAAAAGTCTACTCTATATTTCTTCTAAAATCATTCACAGAGGTAACATGACATTACATTCCTAGATGTCTTAAAGTTAATAGTTTTTTAGTGGTTTTAGAAATTCCATCTTATGCTTGGGATTAGGTCAACATAAAGTCACAGATATTTTAAATATAGGAGCAAATAAATACATATGGGCAACAACTTCATCACTTAAGAAAGCAAACACCTAGTGAACTGCTCCCAAACCAAACTATGTTAAGAAAAAGTGTGTTCTGTTTGCGTTATTGAGAAGTTTTGGATCAGACTTTTGTGCTTGTCTCTTTTAAGATCTGGCCCATGGACATGGACAATGGTGTGGGGAATGCACTGTGGGTGTAGGGAGTAGATGGGATAGAGGAGGGCCAGGGGGGAAACTGGGACAACAAGAATAAAAACGATTAAATCTGCTGATCTGGGCTTTCAAGTGCATTATTTGTTAATTATGTCGCTGTTTCACAGAGAGACTCTGATCTAGCTTTCTGGGCTGGGGCTAGACTCACCCATTCTCGTCAACCCACAAAGCTTCTGATGTTTCACCCTGAGTGTGCTATCCCATCAGTCAGTGTGATGTCTAAATTAACTTTGTGGCTTTAAATAATACACGAGTAAAATAACGTGAAGTATGAGGAACTGAAGAGGATGACTGGTCAGACAGGGATGGTAACAGGTTTTTGAGGTCAGTGGGGACCACATTACATTCCGTATATTTCTGCACTTTGCTCTGTTCAGAAACAGTGTTGCTCCAGACAGAAGATTTAAGGAATACCACGATCTAATAATGCACTTGGATGCTGTGATCAGACATTACTAATTTGGAATGGTTGGGGTAAGGCTCCAGGAATGAATAAAGACCTGAAAGGGAAAAAACAGCAGCAATGCCTGAGCTGGCAAAAGTACAGAAAGACTGCCAAGCTGGAAACCATTTAGAGTAGGTGCGGAAGTGGGGTGGGGATGTCCACGTGAAGGAAGGTCCATTAAGACCAGTCGACCCCACACGGGTCCCCTTGCTGGTTTATGTACTCCACATAAGATTGTGTAGACAGTCTCCAAACTGCATCATCAAAACCATGAAAACTTTATCAGTAATTCTAAAATGTACCAAAGAGTATAAAAATCTTCTATCATACAATGTGGATGCTGTCAGCAAAAGATGAGTACTACATTTTGCTTAGGGAAGAATCAGAGAAATGAACCTAGTTCAAATTTCTTCACTTTGGATTTTGAGGTAAAGAATACATTTAGTCAAAAGCACTTAAAATATGAAAAACATTTGCTAATTCTATTATAAATATACAATAAAACTTGCAAAACTAAGTCTGGACACAATGCACTGGTGTGTTCCTTCACACTCCCAGTTGCTGAATGACCCATAGACATTATCTATGAGTTGATGTAAAGAAAATAACCATTTACTTTCCCTGCAAGATATTATTCATCTTCAAAATAGGAAATCAATAAAAATAATTTATTATTAAAATGAATGCCCTGAATGAATGACTGTATCTTCAAAAGTCAGTTATTTTTACCATCTTGCAGAGAAGGATAAGACTGATGTAATTCACACTATCAAATACAAACAAGTGCAGCTAACTCTGAAAAACACTGTCCATTTTGGCATTGCTATTTCAACTGAAATATTTTACAGCTTCATGTTAAACTGAATTGGCTATGTTCAAAAATTTTCTTGATTTCATTTTGGGTTGCCAAAAATTAACTCAAAATTAGTCAAAAAGATCGAGTCTGTATTGAAGTATAGTGAACTCAATATGGTCTCAATGTATCGGTTTCCTCGTGATTTAACTATAATCAAAATATTACCCATTTAATTTCTTCCCAAACTTGAAAATTGTAGTTTTTTGAAATTGTTAATCAGTTTTACTTTTAACCTTTCAAAGCCTAAAGAAACAGATTTTTCTAAATAACCAACAGAACTCATCGGGAATCTAAAGAAGTGAGTCTAAAGAAGTACTGATAAAAGTATTCACACATCTGCTATAAAAATATAAACACAATAGCGATTTCAATAAAAAGAACTGACTTTTCATGGTAAGAGGATAATTAATCTTTTAAATATATTCATTTCCATGAGACAAAACTGACCCATTTCTGAGTTCAGTATAACTTACAACAAGAAATAACAACTACTTAGCACTTAAAAGTTTGCAAAGAGCTTCTCAGACAATTAACTCAATAAAAGATACCTATTTAGAAATAGCAATGTCAGCATGCATACAGAAAAAAATGCTGCAATAATGGCACTCACACACATCAGGCAGCTGCTCAGTCTGTCAACACTGATTGAGAACTTACTGTGTGCCCAACCCAGTTGGGTAGGTCACGGGCTCTACGATACTTGTGCTGACGATGGTTCCTGCATCATGGTGTTGGGACTACGGAGTTAAAATTTTTCTACAACTGCTCCAATGAATACTGGCCTCTTTACATGATTTATTTAAGTAAGTAAAAGAGTGTGGCCAATTCAGGATTACCTCACATTTATTTAGCAGCCCGGTTTCTTGCAGCCGTGACCAGATGCTCTGTATCCGCCCAGCGTGCTCGGGGTGGGTGGTGGAACTGCCACAAACGCACTGGTGTTTCAGCATCAGAGGATCATAGGCAATTCCTTCGGGACAAAGAAAAAGCGCAAGATTGAGTGATGATACACGTTAGATGACAAGATGATTACTCAGCAAAGGCATTCTTTTTAAAACAAGTTTACAAACACAGAAATAATACATAACCACAAACTCCCAGGAGCACACAGGAGCTATTATATCATCCAGTGTATCTGGATAAACAGGCAAAAAGAGTCAACCCCTGGCTTGATCAATACTCAGGCCCTGGCTTAGTAAATCTGTAAAGTGCACGAAGGAGATAATATTTTTTTAAATATTTTTAAACTTTAGGTAAAAAAAAAAACCAATTTTACCAGTATATTAAATCATTTTGAAGTAGTTTTAGACAGATAATTCAATTCAGTAGAGGTTAAAATTTTATCACTGAAGCCATAAAATGAGCTGGTTCTTTAAATAGTGTATTTATCTCATGACTAGTTCTAGCCTCACTTTAGATCTGTTTACATTTTTATAATAAAGTAGAAGGTTTTCCAACTGCTTTCCTGTTCTGCTTAGCAATTCCTTCGGCACTGGGCAGAAAGTTTCTCCTTTACTTTTTTCATAATTTATGCCCATCTGTAAGCAATGTGGGTGTTGTAGGTCTTATAATGTTATGCGACAATAAAAGTATTTCTTTAAAAAAATGAATAAGTCTATTGGTATCACTTTAGTAGAAATTAGAGATACTTAATGAAGAAAATCTGCTTTTAAATTACCACAAGTTAACATATTTCATATTTTAGTTAGACCATATGATGGGAAAGTTATAAAAATCTGATGAACTGGTAAGAGATACATAAAATAGGACTTATTAAAGAAACAAATTATATAATAATTATAGCTGGTTAATTTTGAAAAGATTTGTACCCTTAAACCAATTTCTTGGGGGGAACACATGGTACTTACAAAATTGCCTAACATAAGAAATTATTTAAACAATATTCCAATAAATTACCATGAAAATACATTTTCTGGGGACATGAAGTGAGAGCAGAAGAATCCATGTTAATATATTAAAAAGCAAAAATAAGTACCTATTCAAGAACAGATAAGTATCAACTACTTGTGTTATAAAGTTTGATTAATTAATGTTTTTTATTCTCTTGATTTAGATTGTCATATTAGAATAATGTTACTCAAAAATAGAAAATATTTGTTCCTCAGTATACTAATATTATGCAGAAGATTGACATAAATGTTTTAAACCATGTGGTAAAAATTATGTCTACAAAATATATTGGCTTGGCTAAAAAGTCCATTACATTTTTTTCCATATAATGTCTGTGGTAGTGCTTAGTTGTCTTTAACTTCATTTGAAACAATTTTGTTAGATTGTATTGTGACAGCTGTCATATTAGCATGCATTAAAAAATTATCAAAATTGGTGAATTTTTGTGCAGCCAGCTTAATATCGAAGGTGGAAGAAGATACGCAACATTTTTGGCATATTATGCTTTATTATTTCAAGAAAGGTAAAAACTCAATTGAATCACAAAAAATGACTTGTGCAGCACGTGGAGAAGGTGCTGTGACTGATCAAATGTGTCAAAAGTTGTTTGCAAAGTTTCTTGGTACTATTGACATTCTGGCCAAATAATTCTTTACCATTGAGTCTGCCTTATGCATTGGAAGGCGTTTAGCAGCACCCTTGGCCTCTACCCACTAGAAGCCACTGGTGGGAGATAGCTGACATACCCAAAATATCCAAATCAAGAAAGCTATTGGTGAAAATGAAAAACATGTCTTTTATTTCACAGAAAAAAAAATAATGGACTTTTTTGGCCAACCCAATATATCATTTTGCTGGTCCAAATGACATCCATTCTTAAGACTCAGATGGCTTCAAAATCTATTCCTAGATGCCTGGTTCTCAAATTTTTATCTTTAGTGCTATCTCTCTTTTGAGCAGTACACTTGCACACTTGTCTATGGAATTGGCCATTCAAACCCTCCACTTGGATGCCTTAGATTCAAGTTCATGATCTTAAACTGCACATAGCATTTCTCATCTCAGGAAAGGACATGGTGATCCACCATTGCTCCTGTAAGAAATCTGAGTGACCCCATGACACTCCCTATCCAGTTTTGAATTACTTCTTATCTCCAATGCCAAAACCATAAACAATCCAAGGTACTATTGTCTCTATTTTGGGCTCCTGAACTAGCCCTGTAATTGGCTACCTGACTTTCACTCTATTCCATTTGCCACTTAACAATAGCTACTTGTGCTGAAATCCTTTGACACTCCCCTGATGGGATTAAGTTTTCTCAAGGTCAGCACAGATATAGGCCCCTTCTCTTCCCTCCAGCTTCATCTAATTTACACCTCCCTCCTAATCTCTGTTTCTCCCACAAAAGCCTGCCATCTATTCACAGGTCCACAATCATTACCAGCCTTGAGATCTTTATACACACCGTCTCACCTATGCCAAAAGTCTTCTTTCTGGCCCTCATTTGCCTGATTCCTACTCATTCTTCAAGGCTGTTTCAATGTCACTTCCTCAACAAAGCATTCAGTAAATTAGGTCTCCTAGTACATGTACTCATAGAATCTTCAAGGTCTTCAGAGCATTTATCACAATTATTTAATTGTTACATAATCTTGTTAGTTGTATATTTCTTCCTCTGGTAAGATCTATGAAAACACAGACTAGAAGGTGTCTTATTTACCTCTGAACTCTTAGCATCTGCAAACATGCTTGGAATATAGTAGGTCCTCAAAAGTATTTTTAATGAATAAATGAAAAACACAAATACAGGGTAGGTAAAAGGAGGTTTATAGTTCTGAGTATGCAAAACACAGAGTTTATTCTCATTATTATTGATTAATTATTGTATTATTGTTCATACAAACAATATAAACCTACTTTCTCCCCATGCTGTAAATGAATAGATTTGAGAAGTAGGTTGGGCATCTCCCTTACAAAGCCTCTCTTGACGAGCCTAACTGGTAGGTCTCTTGGATTCCTGAAGCTCTTGTAGCCTTATTTCTTTAGTATACTACCTTTCATTTTCTGTCTCATCTTTCCACTGGCAAGTGTCTCTGATACAGGCATTCATTTTACTCAGCTTTATATTTCTACATGGAATTTTGCACAAAAAGTAAATAAGTATTTTAAAATAAAGTCCAACTGAAGACATGAAGGCAAAAAGCTGGCAGTCCTCTAAAGTAATATTGCAAAATGTAAAGATATATAGGACGTGTCTTCACAATTCAGATACATCTAGTATTTATGGGTTGCTATTATATAACAGAAATGGTTTAGCATATTATGAACCACAGTTTCATAATACACAAAGTAAAAAATATATATATTAATGATAGATGGAAATAAAAATATAGTATCTCCCTCATTTTAAAAACACATTCTTCAAAAGTAAAGATTCTAATCATTAAGTTGCTTAATTTTTTTCATTATTTCATCTCTTGACATATCTAACTTCACCTCCACAGTAATTGTTCCTCTTTTAACATTCTCTCTATAAACCACTGCCAAAAAAATTATGAAACAGGTTATAGTAGCTGGAAGTTATTGCCAAGTATCTGGAGATTATAACACAAAGACCAGGAGCTCTTGGAAAGACATTTGAATTTAAGGGAAAATAAATAAAGCCTGGAACCCTAAACCTCCACTTATTCATCTTAATGATGTACCAATGAGGTGTTAACAGGTAGACTGCAAGGTGAGACTTAAACCTCATCCTTCATCTCCATTCTTTTCCTCTTTCTTTTTTCTTTTCTTCTCTTTTTTTCTTTTCAGAAACAAAGAATTATAGGGTGAGAAACAATTCTGCTCTTCTCTTTGGGATTCATATGGAATTCTACTTTTCTTTGACCTTTTCTGCCCCCTGGTTACCTCTTGCAACATAAACCCATGGATCCATCTCTGCCTTGATCAAGGGATGAGTTAGAATTTGGATTTGGGGCAATGCACAAGAGTCCTAAAGTCTTTGCCTGTATTTTATAAACCCTACTACTTTATTTTCTACAAAAAAAAAAACCCTCAAAAATATCTGATACATGTTTTAGATGTTGTGCTTTTTCCCACCTTTAGTTATATTAAATAAGCATTTGGAGTACCTAAATTGTTTTAAGGGCTTTCACAAAAGTTGGTTTAGTTGAGCACCACAATTCTATTCTGCATTAGACACTGACTAAAGAGATAATATTACAAAGAAAAAAGAATTTACTCACAGATTATATAAAGTAACCTAGTGCTGGGGTAAAAGAAGGCTTTAAGTCATACTAGGTAATAGGAAAGATAGAGTCAATCAAGTTTATTGCCATTAAATTCTTATTTCAATCAACCCCATTTGGTATAAACAAGACACATGTATCATCTACTGTCAGCATCGTATTGTGAAGCCATGGCCAAGCCTCATCTCTGTTAAAAATAGTTAGAAGAGATGACTAACACAGAATACACTGTCCTTCCCATACTTATCAGAACACATAAAAATACCATACCTTAGCTTCAAACAGAATGGAAAAAATCTCTTAAATTGAATATTATCACTCAAATTCCAATACAACCTAAAATCCATTTGAAAATGTGGCAACCTGACTCCAAAACACACAGTCTTCATTGTCACTACAGCAGCTGAAAGATGATGTGCTCTTCTTGTGCATCCAGGAAATACCTTAATCCAGGATCTCTGCAGAGCCACCAGGTGGTAGCTACACCTTAGCCTCTGTTTCCTGGTCTGTTCAAGTCCTCACAGAAGTGAACTAAATACTTCATCTTTCAACAAGTGGCTGAACTCAGACATTTTCCCTGTGGAACACTGCTTTGCTCTTTACAAAAAGGGGTTGGTGTGGCTACTAAGAGTGGGATGCTGAGAAGCCACATGGAGGGCAAAGGTTTGAATGGTGTACCTTGAAAACTATGTGACTTTAGGACTTCTGATCAAGATGGAGGCATAGGTAGATATGCTTTGCTTCCTTGCACAAACAAAAGAAGGACAACAACAAATTTCAAAACAAAACAAAAAAAAAACAGAACTGCCA